CAAACCTCCCTACTTGTAGTGATTTCAAAACGATCGGATCAAATTATAAGATTTCAAATGATCTTATCTTAAAAAAATCGATAAATATAAAAAAAAATTATATAGAAATTAAGAATATATAAATAAATAAAGATAAATAAAAATAAATAAAATAAAGATAAATTTAAAGAGATAGATATAGATAGATATATAATTAGATATTCAGATAAATATATTAAGAGATATATAGATAGATATCTATAGAAAAATATATAGAGAGATATTTAGAAAGATGCCTAAATAAATGCATAAAGAGAAGCTTCGAAGACGCACAAGCAGATATATAGATTCAGAGATACGCGCATATAGAGAGACACAGACACGGACACCTATAGTCAGGATACACAGCGCTAGATCTCGCGGCACTATAAAAAATTGAAAATTTCATGACCGCGAGCCTATCCCAAAAATTTCGGAAATTTTATGACCGAGAGCATACTTATCGCAAATTACGCAAAATTTATTATCGAGAACATATGCGCATATAACTACCAAATTTTCTGAAATTTTAATACCTCGAAATTTCCTAAAGCTACCAAAATTTCTGACTTTTTAGAATCGAGAATGAAGGGCTCCCGGTACTAAAATTTCCGAAAGAAAAAAATCGCGAGACAGGCATATAAGGGGTTTTCAAGAAGCAAAGCTATAAGAAATCGGCGACACGCCCAAAACGCGACCAGCACGACACTACTTTATTAGACAAATGATATTCGAAATAGAGGGAGGGAGTATAAAAATGCTCGGCAACGAAAAATATATTAGATGAGAATCGTGAAATTAAATCGAAATAAAAAATTTTTAGAAAAAGATTATATATTTAAATTTTCTAATAAACTATTTTCAATCTTAAAATCCCAGTCTCCCTCGTAAAAGCCTTCGCCTGCCGATTCGCAAGGCCCCCCCCCCTTCGGTCGGATAGGTTTCTTCGACTCCAAGTGTAATCAATCTTTGAAGTCTCTTGAATTCTGGCGGAAATCTGTACGAGAAGGGATTGTCACCTTTGAAGCTGAGCTGGCTGTGGAAGAGAGGCTATCATTACTACCAGGTCTTCATGCATTTAAAAGTCGAGTCGAAATTTCGGGCCGGAGAGCGCACTCCTTCCCGGCAGATGCCTATGCATACAGATTAGGGTCGGCTTACAGCACAGGTCGTGCTAAGACAGCCTTGGATTTGCACCGAATGCAGGCCGCAGGACGAAAGAGGCTCGGGGCTGCAGCTTTCAAGATTTGATATCAAGATTATCTGGACTCTCTCAAGTACAGATAGCTTAGGCTGACCCCAGATCGGTCACCTCAGCCAGTCACTATGGCCCAAACATCCACAGCTCTTCGAGAGCCTCTAGTCCTGCGGGCGTCCTAACCGCGATCTCCAACTGGGTCAGATGGCGGCCAATGATAATGTCGGGGTTCTGTCGCGCCACATACTCCTCCAGAAAAAGAGAGAGAGAGAGAGAGCAAAAAATGTGTGCAAGTGGGAGGGTGGGAGGCGACAAGGATGACTGAAGCTCTAGCCTTCTGGAAAGGATCCGGCAACTCACATCATATCCTTTATAGTATACTCTATAGTCTACTATATATGGTGCAAAAAATAAGCGATATAGTGTCCCATATAGCACACCATCAGTCTACAATATATGTAGATATACACACACACCAACAATAATACCATAGCGAGGACGTGTACTATATGTTGTTGCTTTTGTGTCGATTGTGTTGTGCTCGTTGTTTTGTGTGTGTATATGTGTGTGCGTGTGTTCTTGTTTTGTGTAAGTTGTGTTTGTTGCTCTTGTGCTGATTGTGTTTAGGTGTCTGTGTTTGCATGTATGTTGCTTTGTGTTTGCTTGTTGTTTGGATTTTTTGCCTTGTTTTGTGTTTGCTTTTGCTTTTCTGTCTTCCTGGCGTTTAGGGGTTGCAGTTTTTACAGAATGCATTTTTGCATGTTTACAGTTTTCCATGCTCCCCAGCATGATGGGATCCCAAATCATAATCCTATGCTCTCTCGATGCGATGTTCTGGTCTAGGTCTAGGCCACTGCGAATCAGTTGCATCCACTTGGCTGCTCTCAAGCTTCGCACAACGTCTCCTGCAGTGCTGGATGCTCGGCAAGCACCCCATGATCTGGGAAGTTCTCGAGATTCAATACTCGCAACTGGCCGTGGGGATCGTTGAGCCTAAAGTTCCCACGGTAGCCTCTCGGGCGTCCGCGAGGGTGAGCGTATATGTCGGCCACCGCACTACTCTCGGAGAAGTAGATGCCCGGGCCTAAATGCTGCCGCCCACCGTTTCCTTGCGATTGGTAGCGGTTCCAGAGATCTGCTCCCTGTGGGTTAAACTTTCCATTCATGCCTCGAAAGAACCGCTGGCCATGGAATAAGTGATTCGGACCGTGCAACCCCGCCGCTGCCGCTGGCGCTGGCTCCACAGCATCACAGAATGGGCTCAGCGACTCGGAGGGATGCTCCTGGCTGCGGCTCAGCAGCTCGGACTCCTGGCTGGGCCTCTCGGACTGGCACAGCGGCTCGGGCTCCTGGCTGGGCCCGGTACCGGGCCTGCTGAGCGGCTCGGAATCCTGTGGCCCGCAAATGACCAGCACTGCGCCCAAGAGCAGCATCAAAGATGGGCGCTGCCACGGTGTCAACTATTGCTTCCGCCCGCTCCTCACCAGCTGCAGCCTCGTCGATTCGGAGAACTGAATCAACCAAACCGACCGGGCGTCCCTCTGCGGCACTGGCTGTGAGGTCAAAGGTTGCTCCTGCAGCCGCTGCAGCGACAGGTCCAACGGGACCTGTGAGGATGCCCGCTGCCAGCACGACTGAAGTGCGGTTTGCTGCCCTCAGGGCATTGTCACCGCCCTCGGAGTTTCCAGCCAAGTGCTGGATAGCCCCCTTTGCATGTCCAGCTATTGGAACCATGTTGACAAAACCTTCAAGCTCACGTCCGCATGCAGCCAAAAAGTCCCTGGCCTGCTCTTCTCGATGGCGGTTCAGCTCCGCATCATCATCAAAGACACACCGCACAGCAAGGACTACCCATTCCCCAGAGTGTGCCACCACAGTCTGTTTGGCATATTTCGCTGTGTTCTTGGCACAGTCTTCCAATGCCAGGTTGACCTCTCGGATCTGCCCGCCCGTCACAAGCTTCAATTGTGCCACACAAAGAGTCGCGGTGCCATGCATGAGGGTGCCTTGGTGGTCCGAGATTCATGACTACCTGGGTTTGCTGAAAACCCTATCTAATTTTGCACGTCCCCAACCAGCATTATCATCGTTCTTGTTCCATGAAGGATGGTAGTTTGCACCATCTGGTACTCTGAAATTAGGAGAGGACACAGCTCGGTGCGCGAGAATGACAAAGAGAGACATACCTCGTCATACCATCGATGGAACGTTATCTGCTGTTCCTACTGTCTTATTCCAATCCGACTTCAGGAACTTGCACCACTAGCGCATGCCAAGGCACTCACCTCGTTTCCCATAATTGGTCAATGTGAACAGGGATTCTTGCTGTCTGCCTTGCAGTCCGCATTTCTCTGCTGGGCTGAGGCTCCGCTGTCGGGCGCTCGGAGCCGAAAACCATCACATGGCTCGTAAGGCAAAAACTGAATCAATCATCTGAGCATGCGTCTGGGTGAGCAGTAGTGTGCAGCTAGTGCGCACGCGCTGAATACAAAAATATCCACAGCGTTGCAGTATCTTTCTTTATCTCCCATGTCCACGTCGCCACATCATGGTCCATACACAGCCACCGCCTCCTCGGCTCGATCTCTGATTGTTCGATGACACTTTGGGTTTTCTACCCGGTCTTTCAAGATTTAGGAGGAAGATTCCCCGGCCAACCTCTTCCGTCAATCAACGCCTTGATGCGTCTTGATGGAAACGACGTGTATGCTGTCTGGCCGAACAGAATCGCCAAAGGCTTGCATGTAACATCCAGGCGCAAGCCTAAACTCCGAAGAGCGAGCAGGCCGCGCTGCCTGAGGCTTAAAGCTTCAGGCCTAAGCCCTGAAACAGTCTGCCTTTTCTTGCCAAGTTGCCACCTCTCTAAGTTTCGTCAGAGTGTGGCTCCAAACCTCGCATGGAGAAGCTGGCACTGTTCCATACACGGTACTGCTCAAGAAAATATTAGTAGTTTTGGGGAACAGTGAGTCTTGTTGCAATAGATGATAGCTGGGCGAGAATGGCGAGAATCATGACAACACTCATCGTCATGGCACACAATACACTCATAGCTATTCTTAGCATTCGGACCAGTTGCTCCTTGTTCTTTTCACTCGTACTTCTGCCGTCTAAATACTCAAAGCTTACACCCTTCAAGAAGCAACTACTCTCTCACACCAAGGGCCGGAATACCAAACCGACGTCACGCGGTCACACGAGCGAAGCATCTATGAGGAAGTCTTTTAGCTTTCCAGGTAGCCACTACCTATATTAGCAATTAGGATGTGACTGAGGCATCCTTTGTTTGACGAGGATCTGTTGGAATAAGACTGTATACATCTAGTGCCATTATGCCGCCTGTGCGAACGGGACTGCTGAGTCGACGCAGTTCTGCTGAGTAGTCATCTTAGAGTAACCACCAACATCTAATCTGCAAGTGTGAAATCTTGCACAAATAGAAACTCACAAGTGTATATATATATATATATATACATCTGGAAATATATATATATATATATGTATATATATATATATATATCCATACAACATATGTAGCTCATCCGTACCATTCATCCATCCATCCATCCATCCATCCAAACGCACGCTACACAGGCTTACATATCCACCAGATCCACCAGCATTACCGCCACCAAATGCTTGTCACACGATGCAGATGCAAAAGATGTCAAATCTTGATGAAGCATCTTATCAATGCAATCTGTTTTGATGGAGGGAACCGTTTATGCCGCCGCCAAGTCGTTGAAAGGAACGACAAAAAGACTTGAAGAATAAATGATATGAACACTCACACGCAGCAGTACCAGGTGTACTTACCTAAACATCCTCGTTCTGGTGCATGTTGTCGAGAGGCTTCGTCAACGGACTGCATTCCGTCGACTGTAAACACCATGCGCTGCTTCTTGTACCTTGGCAGGAGTTTGAATTTGACTGCCAGCAAAGCATCTGTCTTGAAAGCTCTGGCTTCGACAGTGGGAGCAATGCTGCAGCCCAGGGCGCTTCTCCACAATGGGCATGGTCTCCTGCGAAGCATCTCAACTAGGGTCATGCTTCCAGGGAAATGAAGACGGTCGAAGCCACAGTTTGTCCTTCTCATAAGTTCTGAAGCGCTTTCGGATGCTCTCCAGGTTGTCATCCACACGTCCGCCTCAACAGCGGCAGGCACGCAGCACTGTAAAGAAGACGATAGTAGTCATACACTTCCGTGTTCCTTTTCCTTGCATCCTGCTGCTGCTCCCGCAAACGAATAAGAACACTAATACTAATGATCTTACGGATACGAATACTACTAATACTTGTAGTAATACTCCTGCAAGAGCGGAGCAGGGGCTGAGATCCGAGAAAAAACCTGAAGCCTAATGCCCTCGTGGTCGAATGGCCTAATGCTTTCCGCCAAGGAACTCGTGGCCGAACGTCCCAAGAGCCGCTTCCTGGAGGGTGATAAGTGGGCTTTGGCAGGCAGGGGCTCTGGCCGTTCAGATCTTCCGAAGGGCCTATGTATGCAGTCTGTCTCAGTTGTGGCTTGTGGTTCCTCAAGCGTGGTGTACGACTGGACGTGCTGAAGGTCCGGGACGTGTGCGGCAAGCTGGTTCTATCCCATACGATGGCATCCATCTGCCACAACAACCCCACTTGAGAACAGATTGCTCTGAGCGCCAGCGTAAAACCTTGAGCTTCGGGTTTCTCCTACCCTGGTCTGGCCATAGATGAAAGCCGACTGCTGCTCTTACGGGCAAAGCCGCAAACCCTGAAACGGTCTGGGGTTTAGGGTTTAGTAAGTCCGAGGTGCTCCATCTCGGTCTCCGTGGCTTCGAAGAACAACACTCCCAGCACCTTGGCTTCCAAGAGTCGTTTTCTTCGCGAGTAAAGGCTTTTGCTAAGAGTCACGGAACTCTGGTTGCTCTGATTGCCTCGGTAGGACTATTTTTCTGATTGTTATGCAGAGAAATACTTAGACCTTCACTGTGGCCATGATATGCCATAGCTGCCTAGGTTTAAGCGAGGCGATCAAGGCGAAATGGGGAAGTATACTGAACAAGTTGCACGGGCGAGAGCAGCATCATTAGCAGCAGAAGCAGTGGGTCTTTGTAGATGCAGGGGTAGTAGCAGTAGCTACTGTTACTACCACCACCACCACCACCACCACCACCATTACTGCTGCTGCGGCTGCTGCTACTACTGCTGCTACTACTACTACTACTACTACTACGACTGCTGCTACTACTACTACTACTAGTACTAGTACTACTACGACGACTACTACTACTTATTCTACAGCACTAGTAGCAGTAAGGGGTAGTCGTAGTATGAAACAATTAGTACTGGTGGTAGTAGCAGTACTACTACTACTACTACTACTACTACTACTACTACTGCTACGACGACGACTACTACTACACTACTCCTACTCCCACTCCCACTCCGACTCCTACTCCCACTACTCCTACTCGTACTCCTACTGCAACTGCTCCTTTACTGCTACTGCTACTGCTACTGCTACTGCTACTGCTGGTAGCTCCCACTCCCACCCCGACTCCGACTACTCCTCCTACTCCTGCTCCCGCTCCTGCTCCTGATCCTGCTGCAGCTGCTGCTACTACTTATGTTACCGCTGCCGACTGCTACTACCGCTACTGCTACTGCCTCTGCGGCTAGGACAACTACCACTATCCGGTGGCAACGGCCAGCAAGAGACAGCGGATGGGCAGCGAGAGGTGAGAAAGATAGTTTGGCGATGTCAAGCGCCCAAGTAGCCCAGCTGATACCCGTCCTCTCAAAGGCTCTCTCTTTCTTGTACATGCTGCATGCCTGCACAGTATCTGGAACGAACATCGACCGGAGGAAGACCTGCCGGCATGGATTCTCTGGAACACATCGCTCTGGCGATCCTGCGTCTCTACAGGACAGGAGGTGTAATAATGGCCACAAAGACTAGGGCTGAGAGATTATATGAAGCCTAGGCACGTCGGCACGGTCCCCAATGACCTGCTCCCATCCGGTCACCTGCAGGTGCCCTAACTAGGAGGGTCGATGTCGGAGACGTTTGCAACAAAAAACCTACACAGCGCTTAGCTAAGCAAGCCGTACGCAGGCCACATTGTCGGGAGGAAAGTACTTGCTGGGGAAGAAGGCCGCGGCATTATGACGGCTGCTCGAGCCGAACCGGACACAGCGGAAAGAAACCTTTGGCAAGAATCTCGAGGATCGACAGCCCAAACCGATCAAGACTTGGAGACTGCATGCCGTCTGGAAACTAAATAATATCAACCCTGCAGCCGAAGATAAGACTTCGACGTCCAACACAAAGCTTCGGACGGGCTACATTGTCCAGGTTCCTCGGGAAGCCATCTATGAGGAAGTCCGTCTTACCCTGCGCCATGTCTTTCCGCATGGCCTGGGCGAACAAAGTGCGATATGTCGCCAGCTTTCCCTCTGCTCTGGACGACTCTGCGACTGCACCCTGCACTCTCACTCATACCCCGACTCTGAAAACCGTTCAGGTGACGAAAGAGCACAGGAAGCATGTCAAACTGCATAATGGACAAGCCAACTGCTTTGACCGTTGGGAGACCAGAACATCTGTTAACACAGTCTCTTTTGCCAATCTCCGACCCCTTCACAAAGCAAAGCCATTGCCAATACTGATATGCTTGGTTCAAGTCAGAGCCAGCATTTTACACATGTACATGTGTCTGAAAGGTTTCTCGGCTTCGGCATACTTCTCACGACCACTACTCCGTGTCCAAAACATCGTGTGTAGGTGATATATGTATATATATATATAGATCAACAACACATTGTGTTGTTGATCTATATTTGGGCGTGCTTGTATAGATGTATCTGTATCTACATTCATCTACTCATGCCGAGGGTAGAAACCAGATCTCGCCACAAGCACACAAACAACTAAGCCTCGCTCAGTCGAGCTTGCTTTACCTGCATGTAAGCTAACTCACACAAACCGCTTTGCGAAGGCCTCATTCACCACTTGTCAACCCGTACTTTACGCGCATACTTGTACCTCGCGGGACTATCTATGGAAGCGCTGTGCCTTCTCTAGCAGCCGCACAGTGATCTCCACCGGCACGATTTTGCCCTCCTGAAGGGCTTCTGCTTCGTTGCAAGTACAACGACACCTAGTTCAGAATTCTACGGCTCAGCAGCGACTGCAGCCAACTGGGGCAGGGATTGCCAGAGAGTTTTGGGGAGTCGCACTTCGGTCACCGAGCCCATGAGATTTCAGCTGCCATCCTTGATGTAGGAGTTGATGAGCTCCCCATCCTGCAGCTGCTTCGGCTTGAGGCGTGCGGCTGGCAAGCTCCCTCAAGGAGGAAACGAGAAACTAAACGGAACTGACAACGTTCTGATCTTTGCACTTGGCGTGTGCCTTCGGGCAGAGAGGGAAGGGATTGAATATGCTGTTGTTGTGGTTGCTGTTGCTGCTGCTTCAAAGACTGCACACGACGCTTCTACCGTCATGCCACTCTGCTCACAGGTCTTGCCTGGCTTGCAACTAAATTTTGCGGCGAAATCTGCTTCAGAAGCCCCCACAACCATCCTTCCAAGACAGAATCCCAAATACATCATGGATGTTGACAGGGCATGGCCTTGGACTGCGGATCGTTGCGTTCCGCCCGCAGACAATCTCCAGCCGAGATGTGCGACCAGTGGGGGAAGCGAGTGCAAATGTTTGTACCTGCGGCCACGGATGATCTTTAGCTGTGCAACCCAAAGCGACCCACGTGAAGCCGACAAGCAATCTGGGTCCTGCCGCTCAGTTGTCAGACCACACCCGAACCGAAAACCTGTGACTTGTCCAAAAGCTGGAAACAGGAAACCCTACATGCTCAAGAAAACATGGCAAACGGCCTGGGCGCTGCACAAACCCTGATCCCATGAAACAACATGCTTCCGAAGATAAACTCCTTCTTTTGGATGTAGGGCAGCACATGGTTGGGGCAGTCACAAACGGCTGTGTTCGGCCAGGGAGCATTGCGTGCCTTTGCCGGCACCTGGACCCCCGAGTACAAAGAGCACCTCCGAGGAAAAGCCGAAGAAAGCAGGGGTCTGAGCAAGATGGTGCCTTTTGAGGATGGGCCGGAGGCCTACTATTCTGCATCATCGGCTGATATCCCTTCAGCATCGCTCCTGTCTGCATGCTCGTAGAAGGCGATTTCAGAAATGCGGAAAAGCAAGTGGAAAATCTCGCATCTTAATCCAACGTAGCAGTCTTTCTCAGCGCGTCTCATGAGGCCTGCAATCTCACGTAGCCTTGCGACATCTGGTGGCGCATGTGAATCAACATCACTTTGCCGCTACTCCCGAGGGCTGAATCGCAGCTCAGGGCAGCTGATAAGGAATGATACCGATAACCCCGCAACCCTGAATCACCCGTTTCATCACCTTCTTTGCTCCCATGCGGCACGAAAACCCTGAGCTGAACCAGGGCGCATCGCAACTAGCGGTTACAGTCCCTTACAACGAGCATCATGAATTTCAGATCAGTGTCAGCAGCGCCGCACCATCGCAATCATCGAACAACAGGCGAAGAGAACAGAGAATTAGGCCTAGGAGGTTATGGCTGCACTAGTACTGTTTCATTTTGGGTACCCGTAGCAGGAGGACTTGTCGTCAGATTCCAGTTCTTTTCGTAAATGCTTTCCAAGGTGCCCGTGGCTTTGGAGGGGCTACAGGCTTCGATGGCGAGCTTTGCACCGTCGACGCCTCAGCTGGCAGATAAAGTTCGCGTCAGACCTGCCACTGCTGCTGCTCCTACTGCTACCACTA